TACCAAAATCTTGCAGGAAAGGACAGAGACTCTGATGAATCGACTCAGAGAAGTCTGCCGGCATGAATCTACAAAACAACTGATGCAGCAACTGGATGAATCACCAGAAATAAGAGAAAGTATCCAGGATGAACTGCTTTATAGTAAAACCTTACCTCGTTTCAAAAGGTGAAAAAAACTCAAGTGATGCTGGTGTTGAAGCACGCCCCAAGTGTAAGCACTTCTCCCCAAGAAAATTTGGTATTCACAAAATGTACATTTCTAACAAAGATCTGCACTAAAAATAAGTCAAAACAATCAAAGATCTCAAGCTAGAACAGATAGACTAACTTCTCAGACACTTAGAGCCAGAAAAAGAAAGAGTCATCGTATTATAACACACCAAACAGAAGATAGAGAATACTTCTTACAAGTGAATCAGTTCGGACACTGTGTGGTGTGTTGTGTATCTGATCCGTCAATAAAATCCAGACATCTTCATCAAGCTCAACAAGCTTCCCTTTCATGTACAAGCCTTTGACAAATCCGAGGTAGGAACCGCAGTTACCTTTCCTATCAACAACAGTTTTCGAAACTAGCTGTTTCTTAGAAAACCAAGGTGAACGGAGGACAGAGTTCTCAGTCGTCACAAACACCACCAACAGAGAATCACATTTTCCTGTATAAACCAACTTCTTTTTCAATCCCGATAGAGCAACATTTCCACCAACTAGCTTCGTTATCGCAGGGTGTCAACTCGCAGCCATTAAACCACAGAAGTAAATGAAGACTGGCTTCTCAAAAGAGTCACTGCAATCACTCGAATCCATCATATCGTTTCGCCTATATACTTTACATTCACAGACCAATATCCTAACTAAGAAACCAGGAAGGTTTACAGAATCAACGGAATCTCCTTCCATACAAGGAACAACAGACACAGGGCTAATGGATTCTAACACACAATGGACGCTATATCGCGACTTACTGTCACCGTTTTGCGCTGAATTCAGAAGAGGAACCAACGGAAACGAATCAATACTAGTACACCTGGAAAGCAACTGACCAGTATTCACGAGTTTCCACTTGATAATCTCTAAAAACCCATTAAAATGGCTCATAGAAAGGAAATTCCAAGACAAAACACATATCTTACTCCCAATCGCACGGATTTCAAGACCAAGTATATCACAGCAGATTGTCAAGTTACCATCTGTGAATCGAAAGCAATAGCGATTCGGACATTTTAGGGTTTCGGAAGGAAGAGCGAGAGTGCCGACGATAACCCCTGGGTAGTTCAATGGTTCGAGAAATCTACGGGTATTGTCTGAATCGACGGCAGCGGAACGTGATTGAGGGTTCCTAGTGCTTGATTCGGAAGACGAATGTGAAGGCGGCTTAACAGTGGATGAGAATAGCGAGGATGCACCGGTGATGGCTCGACCTCCGTGTACTAGCTCCGTAATTGTGATAACCGTTGCGTTCTCCGTCATCGGAAGCTCGGTGTGTTTTAGACTCGCAGCGAGGTCTCGCTGGCTGTTAAAAACAAAGCGGGAACCCGAGAATGATGACCCGACCAGATTCACACAGGTTTGGGTATTTGATAATGTCACGGCTGTCCACGTCAGCATACACATAGTCAACACCTAACCAAACAAAAAGTCAACGAAAACTACAGTGCGCTATTCTCTCGCCGGAGACATCCACCAATCCGAATCGGAGTGATGGGTTGTGCCGACATCGCTCGGAAAATCTCCCGTGCGATTCATCTCGCTCCCAACGCCGTTATCGCCGCCGTGGCAAGCCGTTCATTCGCCACCGCAAATGGCTACCCTGAATCGACCAAAATCCATGGCTCTTATGAATCGATTCTCTCTATGTTCCTCTACCCACTAGCCTCGACGTCGAGTAGGCTATACGCGCCGCCGAGAAAGGGAAACACATACTTCTGGAGAAACCCGTCGCCATGAACGTAGCTGAGTTCGATAAGATTGTTGCGGCTTGTGAAGCTAACGGTGTTCAGATTATGGATGGTACTATGTGGGCTCAAAACAGTAAGTTTCTCTTGGTTGAATGAAGTTTTTGGGTTTCTTCAAATTCAATAGCTTTGATTCTGAGATTAGTGTTATAGAGTTGGAATCATACACAGTAGATGTTCTCAATCTCTAGATTTGATCAATTCAATTAAACATCATATCACCAGCTTGCTACTCTCTTTGGATGGTTGATATTTTGAAGTTGGGTGTGATTCTCTCCTGTGGAGCATCTCTAAGCTGGAAAGACCGACAAACTGCAACCATATACTGCTCCTTCTTAGCAAACTTAACAATGGAGATAACCGCCATTGGAACAAATGGAACACTCCGTGTTCACGATTTCATTATCCCGTTTAAGGAGACCAAGGCATCGTTCACACAACCGCTAAAGCTTGGTTCAATGATCTCGTGACTGCATGGGTTAATCCCCCGAGCGAACACACGGTTAGGAT